GTAGATACAGACAGACCTTTCAAGCTTCTCTCTACACCGTTTTCCTTCTTCTCTCCATATACTAGCCTCGCCGATGGCCGTACTTCCGTTGGAAAGATCGACGACGACGACGGTGTTGCCGCCGCTGAGCTCGCTGCCGGTGGGGTTCAGGTTCCATCCGACGGACGAGGAGCTCATCAATCACTATCTGAAGCTGAAAATCAACGGCTCGAAGGCTGAAGTCAGTGTGATTCGCGAAATTGACATCTGTAAACTCGAGCCCTGGGACCTGCCTGGTGAGTAATCTATTTTTTTTGGGTACAATTCGCGACAAATTTATGGTAAAAATTCAATCTATATCCGAATTAGCTATGTGTTTCTATAATGAGAGTATGTTGTCGCTTCAATTCGAAATCTTATTGGTAAAAAATTAAATGAATGATCCAGTCGAAATGTGTAAAGTAGAAAACTCTGATAAATTATCGCCAGGCTGGTGAAGGAACAATCTTTATTGCCCTTGTGGTTGAGCAGGGCATTGAGGGTTGAATGTATGATTGTTCTTAGAAGGGGATATCCGTATTAGGTGGGTGTCTGGGGTCTTTAAGCCTGTAGCAGTATAAAGACTTCTACTCTGTGTTACTTCACCATGGATATGGATGTTAAATTTCTGCTTTCAGAATGTGAAGCCTTTTTTTTTAAAGAAAATAATTTAGTGTTCTTGTGTTTTGACTTCTGCAGATTTGTCTATGATTGAATCATATGATAATGAGTGGTTCTTCTTCTGCCCTATAGACCGGAAGTACCAAAATGGGCAGAGGATGAACCGAGCTACAGAGCGAGGGTACTGGAAGGCAACTGGGAAAGATAGGAATATACTCACTAGGAATCGGGTAAAGATTGGGATGAAGAAGACTTTGGTGTACTATAAAGGGCGAGCTCCTGATGGAAAGAGGAGTAATTGGGTTATTCATGAGTATAGGGCTACTGACAAGGCACTGGATGGTACCCAGCCTGGTCAGGTTGAGATCTCCTAACTATTTCTTTGTTGTTGTTGAATTGAGTTATATGCCGAGTTTTCTTGGTTCATTGGCAGTTAAAGCTTTATTTATTTGTTTGTTTATTTTCAATCACACTGTTGAAGAAATTTGTAACTTTGGCATTTCATCTATCAGACTCCGTATGTACTTTGTCGTCTCTTTAAGAAGAATGAGTTGAAGCAAGATGAAAATGCTGAAAGTCCAAACAGCAATGGGGTTGAGCCAAATGTTTCTTCTCCTGCTGTTGTCAAGTCACCCGGTGAAGATGATCAATCGGAGACTGTGACGCCAATGGGGAGCTATCACATTAAAGCACAACCTTTAACTCCAGAGAAGAGTTCTGTGGAGGAATCTCCTATTGCTCAGTTACCTGTTGATAGTAACAGCATTAGCTCTAATGCTAATAATGCAGAAGAGGATCTGGACATTCTGGTGAGTATAAACATTCCACCTTAACCGGACAACATGTTTTTTGGTTTGTTAGTAGTTTATGACTAAAGGGCTATCTACATTGTTTTCCCTGTTTCATTTTTTAGCATGATCCTGATCTGGAAGAAGCATTGACATACCTTTATGAGCCTTCAGAAGAAGATTTCAATATCTTTTCTCTGCCACAAACAGAGATGCAGGGGTTAGGATCTTCCTACGCATATAATGCTGTTACAACTAACTGCGGTGATGATATGTACATCCAGTCTCTGAGTGAAACAAATATATCTGATGAAAATGAGTTTATGAACTCATTCCTTGTTAGTTCAGATGAGATTCCCTATGGAGATTCTGTACAGCAAATCTTGTCAATCGAACATGCAACTCCCAATTATGTTAGCACTATAAACAAGCCTTCAGAGGCAGAAATGATGCAGGGGCTGGTAAGTTGGAAGCTCTTTTAGGCGCCTTTTAACATGATGGAATTGCAATATCACCTAAGTACTCGTATTCCATCTTTCTTCTGCTTTGATAGTCAGGTATATTTAATTATCCCCTTGATAATATATTTTGGTTCGGTGATTTCAGGTTAACACAGGATTTTTTGAAAATGTTCCTGCAAATGCATTGCTGCAAAGACATGTTGATCATGTTCCTAATCCTTCAGGAGGGGTTTATACACCTCATACTTTTAATGGTGGTCCTGAGAAGTGGAATTCAGATCCCCTGAAAAATAACTACCCTGGACAGGATGTTTTCTCGACAATGTGTGATGGAAGTCAGGCCGTTAACATGGTAAATCTTGGAGGAGAAGGTGGCTCGGTGAATGCAGTCAGCAGTTTTGGAACTGGAATAAGATTAAGGACCCGACAGGCGCGTAGTCAAACAGCTGACCAGCCGTTCACCATGCAGGGAACTGCTCCTCGAAGAATTCGTTTACAAATGTCGTTTCCAGCTGCATCTGTTCAATCTCGTCTACCTGAAGATTCTAATCAGGCAGAAAGTGAAAAATCTGCTTTGACTGAGGTAATCTTCTCTCCCTAGAACATATTTCCTCTCTCCATTGGGAACAAAAACAAAAAACCCGTATTCCTCTCTATTGGTGGTGAATTCCATTGGATTTGGTTACACAGGGTGAAACCATTGATAGCACTGCTACCTCTAGTCTTGAAACAAGGGATATAATTGCCCGTGCGTTCAAAAGAGATGGAGAAATTTCTAAGAACACATCTACAAAGACGAAAGACAAAGAAGGTTTTGCAGCTTGCAGCAATGGAAACACCATCTCTGTGTTCTCAAAGACGGGTCTGCTGCACTCAGTATACATGCCAAAGGTACTTATAGCTGTGAGCCTGCTTTTAGTCCTCGTTGGCAGTTTGGCATACATTAGACTCTGAGGATGCCGGAGAATGAAATGTATGTTTTTGTGTATAGAAAGTTTTCATTAGCCTTTGAAAACGCCCCCATAGGGTAAAAGCATGAACTGGTTTAGATTTCTGCTTATCGTTTCTAGTCGAGACTCTTTGGATGTGGCTGGCTGCAGGAGGCTGATCCGCGGAATTAGTTGACATAGACTGCATGTTGTTACTAGCATACATATATAACATTAAAATAGTGGTTTTTGTAAATTTATTGTCTAGTAGTCATGATGTTGACTATATAAACAACCTATTATATATGTATGTTTGCTCTGTTCAGAGCTGTGTTATGAACAATCTGGGTCTGTATAACTCATTTTGAACTCCCAATAAGCCTTTATGTCATAATTTGATTTAAGATTCAAAATATGCTTCAAGTATATTCTGCAGTTGTAGATAAAAGCTTAAAGTTGATGGGTCGTTTGATTTGTTACTAATCAAATCATTCAAAAGCAAAGCTCTAGATTCCCTTAATCAGTCATCCATCTTTTCAGCATATATAATAGTAGTTGCCCTGCCATGTTATATACCTAGATCAGAATCTCTCAAATCTTAAAGAAAATATCTGTCCTAAGACATAGCTCAACTAGTCGATTAATTCAATGAAGTTATAATGTGGTGTTTGGTAAATAGTTGTTAGCTGATTGGGTTAGTGAGTTTGATTAGTTTATAGTATTTACTGATTGTTGAAAGATGTTTGGTAAATTAGTTCTTAGTTGATAGTTGATTATATGTAAAATGACTTTTAAAAAACTAATCGAAAAAATTGTTTTGAGTAGCTTTTTGAATTTTAGTCTTTTAGAGTTTACTGAGTTGTTACAAAAAGCTAATTAACCAAATATTTATATTGATTGTTTAACAAAGTCAAACAACTAACAGTAGTAAAGAAACCAAAATGGACTGATAGATTAACTATTTTATCAAATAGGGCCAATATTTTTGCTTTGCTAGTAACCACATGGTGCAGGATTCGATCCCTACCTATACTAAAATATGTTCAATTCCTACCTATACTGAAACATATTCATATCAACAAGATATATGGTGGTGGCTATCCGAAAGTGCGCTTTGTGTGAAGTTTGTCTTGTGACCCTGGTCGGCAAAGAATCACAAGGAAATAAACCAGCCTAACATTATGGGTGGAGCTTGTCTTTTAACTCTAGCCGGCAAAGGACTACAATGAGGTAAACTAGATTCAAACCAAAAATGACAATAAAGAACTCTCACATATAATCAAACTTGAAATCTTATGGCTACCAAATTACTTCTTTGGATTCCATAAATCAAAACCTGGCAACATTGACAAACAGAATGAAAGAGAGCACCTAACTTGCAAAATATCTTCCCATTTATATATGTAAGTATATAGTTTGTGATCCCACTCCCTACATCTTAGCTCTTCTCTTTTTTCCATAATTTCTCCTCATTTTTCATATATAAATCTCGAAGGTCTGTGGGTTTTTAGTCAAGAACAGAACCAATAATGGGTGAAGAAGCCAAGGAGGTTTGCTCAATTTCTTGCAGTTTGGTTAAAAATTACAGTTTCAAATGTCAGGTTTTTCATTGAAAAGTTTCAATTCTGTCAGGAACAAGCTAAGGTAGAGGCAAAGCCAGAGGATAAGAAAGAAGAAGAGAAAGCTCGGGAAAAGTGAGAACGGCGGAAACGGAACTAAGCTCGGGAAAAGTGACGGTGACGGGCATCATGGATGCAGACAAGCTTGTAGACTACGTCTACCGGCGCACCAGAAAGCAAGCCAACATTAATAATGTGCCTCAACCGGAACCGGAAAAGCCGCCGGAGGAGGAGAAGGAAGAGGGAAAAAAAAGGTGCGGCGGGGGCAGGAGGAAGATGACGACGCAGGAAAGGAAGAAGAAAAGATGGAAGAGAGTATTTTAGGTGTGTAAACTCCTAATTAGTCTTGCAATTAGTTAAAGTAGTTAACACTGTTATAGACAGTTAATCTGTTCAGATTAGTTAGCAGGTTAGCAGTTTTGTTCCCCCCCTCTGTATAAAAGAAGTCTTCTTCTTTCTGTTGAATAATAATGAAAAGTTCCTTTTTCCTTATACTTCCTTTTGCTCTCCATCCACAACATGGTATCAGAGCTAACACACTAAAGCTTTTCCGATTTTTCTCCCATGGCGACTGCGTGGCCTACAATCGGGAACCACTCAATTCCGGTCAACAATACCACCGGTATACCAGTTTCGGCAACAGGAAATCCGGCGAGTACGAGTTCGGCTCCGTCTTCCTCAACAGCGGCTGCTGGCTCGAACACCTCTGAGGTACTGTTCAATCCCCAGAACCAATCAAATCCCTACTATTTACATGTTAATGAGAATCCAGCCCTAGAATTGGTTCCATTCCCCTTAGATGGCTCCAATTACCACACATGGGCAAGAGCCATGACTATGGCGTTGTCTTGCAAGAATAAGATTGCCTTCGTCAATGGAGCAATCAAGAAACCTTCTACAGATAACCTAGAAAGATATATGGCCTGGGAAAGGTGCAACAACATAGTTGCCTCCTGGATAGTTCGTTCCCTTTCTCCAATGATTGGGAGGAGTGTGATGTGGATAGATACAACCTATGGTATCTGGAATGACCTAAAACAGAGGTTTAGCAAACAAGACCTGTTTAGAATTGCTGAGATTAAATGTGAGATCTATCAAACCAAACAGGGAGATAACTCACTGAACGAATACTTTACTAAGCAGAAATTAATGTGGGATGAACTGAGTATTCTTAGACCTACAATGTACTGCATTTGTCCTATCAAGTGCGATTGTGGGAAGAAGATTGATGGTCTCAATGAGCAGCTTGAAATGGATAAACTATCCATTTTTTTTTATTGGACTGCATGAGAAATACACAGGGGCTAGGAATCAGATTATGTTAATGAGACCTATGCCAGAGGTTAATGAAGCTTACTCAATGATAGCTCAGCAAGAGAGACAGTTTCAGATGGGAAACACAGTGTTTGAAAGCCAGTTACATCAAGCATGGGAAAATGGTTCAGCAGGGAATGTGTTCTTGGCTAAGACAGATGGGAACTACCAAGCAGGTTTCAAGAAGGCTATGAGCAATACTAAGAGGCCAGTTTGCACTTATTGTGGATACACAGGTCATACCCATGATAAGTGCTACAAGAAGCATGGTTATCCACCTGGGTGGAAACCAAAGTCAAGAAGCCAAACCTCAGTGAACCAAGTCCAAGGGATTCAGCAATCTAACACAGACAGAAACATGAATTTTACCCAAGATGACTTCAAAAGCTTCCTAGAGTTCATTCAAACAAGGAAGCAAGCTGCTGAGAATCTGAATTCACCTCTTGATCAACCATCACAAGCCTTGGCCAATACTATATCAGCAAATCTACAATCTGAAGGTATGCCCCCTTCAACTAACTCTGTTAGCTGTAGCAAAATTGGTTGGATTGTGGATAGTGGTGCTACTCATCACATTGCTTGTGACCTTGAATTGTTGAGTAATCAGAAGAGAATTCATAATTTGCATGTCAACTTGCCAAATGGACAACAGGCTCCTATTACTTTATTGGCTCAGTTTTTCTGTCTAGTGATTTAGTGCTGCATGATGTGCTATATGTCCCAGAATTCCATTACAACCTGATTTCAGTAGGATCATTCATTAAAAATACCAAGTACAGTATGAAAATGTACTCTAATCAGTGTATAATACAGGATGTTTTCCATGGGAAAGTGATTGGAAGGGCTGAGCTGCAAAATGGATTATATCATCTAGTGTTTCCTACTGTTTCATCTGTTGTATGCAACTATAGTTCAAATACAGAAAACTGTACTTTGTGGCACACTAGACTAGGGCATGCTTCTTATGGAAAGTTACTTCTGTTGAAAGAATTATATCCCTTGATTCATGTGAATAAAAGTCTGATATGTGACTGTTGTCATTTTGCAAAACAAAAAAGGCTCCCATTTCAGTCTAGTGATTCCTTAGCAGCTAATTGCTTTGACTTGTTGCATGTTGATATATGGAGCCCTTACAAAGTAGCCACCATCCATAATCATCACTATTTCCTCACTATACTAGATGATCATAGTAGGGCTGTCTGGATTTACTTGTTGAGACAGAAATCAAAAGTGAGAAACTTAGTCATGGACTTTTGTGCCTTGGTTGAGAATCAGTTTGGGGCCAAGGTTAAATGTATAAGGTCTGACAATGGGCTAGAGTTCAGTATGGATAACTTCTATAAGCAGAAAGGTATTGTGCATCAAACCTCATGCACACACACCCCTCAGCAGAACAGCAGGGTGGAGAGGAAACATGGCCATTTACTGACTGTTGCTAGAGCCCTCAGGTTTCAAGCCCATCTACCTGAGTATCTGTGGGGTGAATGTGTCCTACATGCAGCCCATATAATCAACAGGTTGCCATCAGCTGCCATCAACAATCAGATTCCCTATCATGTTCTAATGAAGAAAACACCAGACTACAAAAATCTGAAGGTTTTTGGATGCTTAGCTTATGCAACAACAGTGGGTCCCAAGTCTAAGATGGATGCCAGAGCTAGAAAATGTATTTTCCTTGGATATGCTAATGGCACTAAGGGTTATAAGATGTATGATCTTATAACTAAGGAGCTCTTTATTTCCAGAGATGTAGTTTTCTATGAACATGAATTTCCTTTTCAGCAGCCCAACAGTTCAGCAGAAAGGCCATCTCAGATCAATCTTCCCAAAATGAGCAGTGTTCCCTTTGAGGAATCAGATACAGTTCATGAAGGAGAGCTGGAAATTGTTCATGGTAGCACAAATGACAACTCAAATAAAGAAGGCCATGAGCAGTCCGTAGATGGTTTGCACACTCATAACCAACTCAGCAGCAGTAATGAAGCACAAGATTCCTCTCATTCTTCAGTTAACCACAATAGCAGCAGTAATGAGGTGACAGACATACATCTTGTTCCAGAAGGATTAAATCAACAAAACACTAGAAGATCCACAAGACAGAAACAGGTCATAAGCTACTTGCAGGATTATATCTGCCAAGCTACAATAGTCAAAACCTCTCCTCATCCCATATCCAAAGTCCTGGATTACAGGAGGTTAGAACCACCACATCAATCCTTTGTCATGAATATCTCATGTCATTCTGAGCCCAGAAATTATCAAGAAGCCATCCAACATGAGTGTTGGAAAACAGCTATGCAAGAAGAGATTAATGCCCTGCAAAGAAACAACACTTGGGATCTAGTAGACCTACCTCCTTCCAAGAAGCCAATTGGGTGCAAATGGGTGTACAAGATCAAGCATAAGGCTGATGGAACTATAGAAAGATATAAGGCAAGGTTGGTGGCAAAAGGTTACAATAAAACTCTTGGGGTTGATTACTTAGATACTTTTAGCCCAGTGGTAAAAATGACAACCATAAGGACTCTCTTGGCAGTAGCAAGAGTGGCACTTACACCAAATGGATGTCAACAATGCATTTCTTCCTAGTGATTTAGAAGAAGAAGTATATATGCAGCTACCTCTTGGTTTGCAAACTGATAAAGAAAGACAAGTCTGTAGACTTAACAAATCCTTATATGGATTAAAACAGGCTAGCAGGCAATGGAACACTAAGTTGAATGTTGCACTGCAAGATATGGGATTCAAACAGTCCTTGCCTGATAATTCTGTATTCACAAAAGGACAGGGTAAGTTCTTCATGGCCCTATTAGTATATGTGGATGATATAGTGGTTGCAAGTGCTGACTTAGAATCCATTCAAAAAGTAAAAATACAGCTCAATGAGAGGTTTCAAATAAAAGACTTGGGACCTATGAAATATTTCCTTGGGTTAGAGGTGGCCAGACACAGAAAGGGCATTGCTGTTTGTCAAAGAAAATATGCTCTAGAGTTACTTGATGATACAGGCTTCATAACCTCAAAACCTGTTTATAGTCCCACAGTTCCTTCATAAAAGCTGAGCAAAAATGAGGGTCAACCACTTGAGGACAACACACAATACAGAAGAATAGTGGGCAAACTTCTGTACCTAACTATCACTAGACCTGACATTGGATTTGCTACACAACGACTATCTCAATATCTGGACAAGCCCACTCATTTACACCTCCACGCTGCCCACAGAGTGCTAAGATACATAAAAGCTGCCCCTGGCCAAGGGCTCTTCTTTCCAGCAGACTCCAACTTGCAATTGAAAGCCTTCTCTGATTCTGACTGGGGAGCTTGCATTGACACAAGAAGATCAGTAACAGGTTTCTGTATTTTCTTAGGGAATGCTTTGATTTCTTGGAAGTCCAAGAAGCAGCCCACAATTTCAAAGTCATCCTCAGAGGCTGAGTATAGGGCTTTAGCAGCCACCACTTGTGAGATACAGTGGTTATTCTTCCTGCTAACAGATTTGGGCATTCATCACAATGGAGCTGTGGTTGTGTACTGTGACAGTAAATCTGCAATTGCCATTGCAGAAAATCCAGTGTTCCATGAGAGGACTAAACACATTGAGCTAGACTGCCATTTGGTAAGCCAGAGTATGATAAGTGATGAAGAAGAAGAACAGAGGATGGACAAAATGGTTTTTCACATGTTAGATGTTCACAATTACAGTTTTAAAATTCACAAGTTGTAATAACCCTACTGGTTTATGATATAACAATTAATTAAGGATAGGAATAGCGTACTAAAAACCATGTTTGCAGTATACGCTAGGCGCTAGTCAGACAGTAGAGTAGCGCCTAGCGTCTAGACGGCCTAGGCGGCTAATCCAAAAAAAAAAATAACAATACATCTGTATAGGTGTATGTCATATATATATATATATATATATATATATATATATATATATATATAAAATAAAAAATGAGCAAGGTCGAGTTAATTCGGCTGAATTCGACCAAGTTCACTGCTAATTCGATCGAGTTAAGTGTGTAGACGGATGTTTAAGAGAAAATTGTCACGATTTAAGAACTCTTAGCATCTTGACAGTCGCGAAATTGGTTCCACATGGTAGGACGGTAGGACCATCATATCTCTTTACACTAAAAATAATCTGATCCGAGTCATCATCTGACTAGTGACTAGTATCATAGTAGCCACTAGAGTCCAAGCGAATGGGGCCCACTATCTAACGTGGCATGTGAGGGCCAAATTGTTAATATAATAACAGTGATCAACAATATTTATTACAAGCATAATACCGTTACGATCCCAACCAAATTAGTCACACAATTAATTTGATAACTATAAACTTTTATAATTGGAATATTATATTATATTGCTCGGCCAACCTCAACTGAGTGGGTAAAATAATTGACTTGCCAATCACAAAATTTTGAATTTAATTTTCTATTGATATTTTTTATTTATGTCGATCAACTATAAACAATATAAGTTAATTTATCTCATTTTAATCTTTTGTTGACTAAGGTTATAAGGCGTGTTTCGTTCAAGCCCGCCCCTTAAATTTTTAACTTATATGTTAAGTAAAGCTGCCAGCCCACATGGGATGATGATATGCAAGTCATTGGACTATCTGTAGTAGATTATCCACAAAAAGTATATATATATATATATATATATATATATATATATATATATATATATGTATGTATGTATGTCACTGTTTAGTCTATCCTTTCTCATGAGTTCGTATGGACAGATTTGATTCATTAAAAGCTAGAGATCAATGGTCTAGATTTTTATTTTTTTTTTTTTTTAGTGAAGTGCACAATAGCACAGTTGATAATGTACCAGATCTGACTATTTGTCTATAATTTTTAATGGACCAGATATGTCCACACGAACTCATCATGAGAAATGGTGGACTCATTTGATCATGATGAGTGTGTGTGTGTATATATATATATATAGTAAAAGGTAGATGATGCATCATACACCCACAACAATTTTCTATGTATATGTATTGACTAACCAAGATGATGACACTCTTTTCCCTCTTTACACATCTCTTGCTCTTTAATTACAAGTATTATTAGTAGCTACCCATCCAACACCTAACTTAACCAACAACCACGCTTATTAGGAATGGATATTTTGATCTCATATATATTCTCATTTGCAAATATTAAGTCATGCATATAAAGTAAAGGATATCCATCCACGTAACCCTCAAAGGTTATTAAAATTAAAGATCTAATTTTGCCTTTATAAACAATAAAGCAAATTAAAGGGCCATGCATGCACGCACGATCTATCTATGCACCTTTTTATAGGGTGGCCGGAATCTTAGGGTTTCGTGAGAGTGCATGGAGGCCGCTTTTCAAGTATTTGTTATTAGGATAAGATAAAGTGGATCATCATCCGTCGTCAACCTCGTGTCTTGTCTACGGCTTTGTCTGTCTGCGTATATGTATATATATGTATGTGTAGATAAACATTGCAAGTAGTTGAGGTTCAATGCATTAAGAAACAAAGTAACAACGTCAGTAGTAGTGAAAGCTAAGCTGTGTCGTTTGAAGTGGGCGGAGAGATTGGAAAGGTCGGAGGGCATATCCATGGCGAATCTGCAGATTGTTCCGGCGGGGACTATAGGTAGCAATAATAATGTGGAAGCACAGTTTGTGGAAATGATGGTTCCTCTCTATTCTCATGGATGTGAGAGGAAGATCAAGAAAGCCTTATCCCATTTCAAAGGTACGCTACATATTTTTCTACTAATTTAATAACATTATTATATTGCCCACCCCATTATTATCCTAGTTGATCCGATAGTAGGTTTGTTTGGTAATCACAAGATTTCAAATTTGGACTTTCTATTTAAAAAATGTCTATTATCCCTTTTAGATTAAGCTAATTAGCTCTAAACAATTTAGATTGGATTATCCTCTTTATGATAATTTGTTTAACTCTTTGTGATGCCGGCTAGCTAGGGTCACAAGGCATCATATACCCAATGTAGATATTTAGTGGTTGTATTTTGCACATGTTTTTTTTTTTTTTTTTTTTTTTTTGTGTCAGATATTTTTAGAATACTACTACTCAAGTATATATATATATATATATATATATATATATATATATATATATATATATATATATATATATGTCACATATGTGTGAGTGTATGGGCATCTTTTTTTTTTTTTTAAATCTTGAAACCTATGAAAGTACGATGATAATTGATATGATGTTGTAAAAATGATGTGATTTGCAGGAATATACTCTGTGAATGTAGATTTTAATCAGCAGAAGGTGACCGTGTGGGGAATATGCAACAAGAATGATGTCTTGTCCACCGTTAGGAGCAAGAGAAAAGATGCTCGCTTTTGGAATCCCCAAGATAACGCCACCGCCCTAGGAGGAGGAGGAATAGAGGAAGAGCAATCTCAAACACCGCCGATTCAAAGACGTCTCTCCGCTCCACCTTTAGCTCTTCTCCGGGTTCGATCCCTTAGCTGGAAATTGACTCTCAAGAAGGCATTCACCCGAACCTACTCATTCTAAAGCCTGAACATGCCTTCAATTATCTCGATCTCGACCTTATTCTTAGACGATCCAAATCCTTTTTTATTTGAGTTAATAATGTATTTTGAAACACTTAAGTACTTTGCTAGTCCTCTCACCGACCAAGCGAGGTTTGTGTAAATATTTTATAAAAATGAATATTTGATCGAGTTATTTCAATGATCCTAAAACATTAATCTTCCGTTATTTTTAATTTTTAAAATATCAAGTATTTCAATTTATAAGCATGACATTGTACGACATCATTAAAATTATATTTGTGTCATCTAATGAATTATAAGTCAATTTTTTAGGTAGCTAAAATAATTTATAATCACTATTTAAAAATATCATTGATAAACCCTGTGTCATCTAATAACTTATAAGCATTTTTTGTTTGCACATTTGAAAACGTTACAGATAATACACAACTATTAGTATCAGCCTGACATACTGTTCCATTGGATCTCAAGCATGTCATATTGTCATGTCGGACACGTACAATGAATTTAGCACAAACAATGTAAACACCATTTCTTCGGATTCTATTAGGAAATTGTCGGTAGCATATGCCCTATAGCTGCCTTTTGTGATTGAAAAATTATTGAAGTAGCATTTAGCAATGATATAAAAAAGAATTTGTAGCCCCAAAAGAGTGACCGAGTTGCTATCAGTCAAATATAATTATTGTATTAAAAGTTTACGAGTTTAATTCCTGTTAATATATACTTTCTTGGTCAAGTCTATTGGTGTAATTTACTTTTCATGTTTGATTTGCGGACGATTACAAGAAGCGAGGTTTACCTAGTTAATATATATCTTCAGATGTGACTTTGAATTTTTCCCCCTAAAAAAATAAAAATTTAACAATATACAACAAACAAAGTTGGTTAGATTTGTTTGTTGACTAACTTAACCAAACCAAACAAAAATAGGGCATATTTCTTGGGTTTCCATTATTATAATTAGATTGCATTTGAATTCTTATTACTTAAATGAATTTGTCAAAGTTGCATCTTTTCGTTGAATTTAAGCAGCTTTCTTTGATTAGGTTTTAGACTTGTTTAGGATGACAAGTAAAATCAGTAATCACGTACTATTCGATATTGTGTATAGTGGGTAAATTTTGTTTTTGTATAGTGGCATTCAAATTACATAAGAGAGGTAAATCGCACTATAAAAACCTTATGTGATGGGCACAATAGAGAAGAGGTTGGTAAGAATCGGGCTCGTAATTTTTTTGTATGAGAAATATGTTTCACTCACTCGATCACCTCTTTTAACTTTCGGGGTATGAGAATTATGAGATTGTTGGATGGAGCTACCCGCAAAGTAGTCTGATCCACAACTATATTTTACAACGAGAATAATTTAACTAAATTATTGTTAGATAAGACCCCACTAATGGAATTCTCTCTTAAACTTGACACCTCACGACTTCGTAGGTAATTATCTGGTAATCTCATTCTTTTCATCAATTATCTATCCTTGATGGATGTGAAGATTGTTATATATTTTATTAATGATTAACTCAAGATTTGAAAAATCCAAAAGCAAATAATTACAGGAAGAAAGTCATCAAATTACAAATCAAAATCATCGTAATAATGTATTAAATTCCTTGCATCAATTATTATATTATATGATGCAAATCATAACGCCTATTATTATTATTATTATTATTATAAACCAACCAATTAATTATATAATGTAAACTATGACACATATGACATATCATTATCTTTTATATTTATAAAATGGACTACACTAGAAATTCTTACAATTATCACTTCTTATTAATCACTCTTAACATGTCTTTTTTTTTTTGGTTAAAGTCAAACAAATTGGTTAAAGTTTGACAATCCAGCAAGTACCCCTATCTGATAACGTTATAAAGTTTGGGTGATTGCACCCCATTTTTCTCCAACTCAATATATTCATTATCAGAACAGTCTCTGTCGACTCCGACGATCCTGAGCGACAACCTCAAATTAAAGGCGGCCAAGTTAAGGAAAGAAATTAAAGATGATAAGGTTGACGAAGATGGCGGAGTTGCTTATGGAATACAAAATAGCCATCGCCACAATGAGACAACATTTGCCCGCTACGCTCAACTTCCTGCGCACCCTTCGCACACCTTCTTCTTCTTCCTCCTCCACCACCCAACACCATTCTTCTTCCTTTCTTGTCTACTTTTAATATCACCGCCTGTCGTTTAATCTGCTATAGCTTAAACTTGTTTGGATACACTCTGAGATTTTCTTCGGTTTTGTATCATATATATTGTATAATAATATACTTGTATGGATACACTTATTTAATAGCTCATACTTCCACTCTGTATTGAGATTCTATCCCACCTGACTCTATTTCAGTTTACCTTTAATATATAAAATTATTGATTGCTTTCAAACAAATATTGTATAATAACATATACAATTCATTTAAGTTGGTGGGACAATTAGTCTGATAATCACACTACTAACAATGAGGTTTCGGTTTGAGCTGATCCTTTGTTGGCTAGGATCAACTGACGGGCTTCACCTAGAATGAAAACCGAAGGCTTCAATCAAATAAATGCTATAAAAATCTTGTCATTTTAGCTCTGGTCATCTGTATTTGGTGAATTTGCAGTCATTTTGTTGCCAAAGATTTTAACTTTGCTGAGTTCTTGATATCATTGATCACTTGTTTAATCAAGCTGTAAGTCTCAGACGAAGACGGGTTTTGGGGGTGTTCAGGTTACAGAGGATTATTGAAACTGTAAATGATGGATACTATTGGAGTGGCATTACCACGTTTCATTTCACATTGTTAGTAGTTGAAACTTAACATGAGACAATGCAATGTTCGATGATAAAAGGTTTTTCAATTTTCACTAGATATAAATCTAATGAAACAATGAAAGACTACTCCCAAAAATCCCTGAATTTACCAGATAACCTCTTACACAAGTAGAAACCATAATAATCTAAGTAGTGAGTTCCATGATAGCACTGACAATGTCTCCATTGTGGGTTTTGAGAGCCCCCACAGCCTTGCTCCTGGAAACTCCAGCCTGTGTCATAACCAAATCAATGTCTCGAGGCTCAACCCCGGTCTCATCAATCTCTTCCTCTTCCTCGTATGGCTGTGCAGAAGCAGCCGAGGCTGAGATTTCCGGCTTGGGCAGGACTGAACCCATGTCTGGCATCCTGAACTGCTGGGCTGCCTGGGACTGCAGCTGAGAGCTCAAATCTTCAATCTTTGCCTCTCCAAATATGACATAGGTATCGGAATTCGGGCTCTTGAACACATCAGGTTTCGAGATGAAAAACATGATCTGTTGCAATGCAATAAAACTGATTATGCCCATTCAAATATTAACCATGGATGAAAAATGAAAACACGATTCTTTGTCAAATCATACGTTTTTTGTTCTCTTGATAGTCACCCTACTGACATCGGGAACAGGTTTCATGCCAAGTTTCAACATGGCCTTACGACTCTTCTTCTCACTCCTGCTCTGTTTGGAACTCTCATTACCACCTACAGTAAAATTAACTTGAGATCAGAGTCTAAGTAAAGTTGCAAGAATTATTGATTGGATTACAATATCAATTGTTATAGAACAATGTGGCAAATGTCAATGTGAAACCGCAATACAGGATAATTGCAGTAATAACAATGAGAAAAGTTAGTAATTCTAGTAAGTTACATCTGAAAAACAAGAAATGCAATGCCCTGAAAGTAGACAAGTAGCAGCTTTACATTAAATATAGCCAAGTAGCTACCACTTTTCATCAAACAATCAAGCCCTTAGGCCTTAGGTCTATTGAGATTAAGAAGTTATTAATGGCAATCAAATAATTCCCAGATGAAGATTGTCTCATGGACAAGACAAGAATGGAAGCATTTCAATAACTTTGCAAAACAAAGAACTCCTAAGCCATCATCCATTAACTATTAACTACAAAATTTCCAGCTTCAAACACAGAAAGATATCAGCAAAACATTTACAAGTGGATAATGTATCATTCAGATTGGAAGCTCATTGACAAAACATCTGGAAAAACATAATGATTCATATCCGAAGCACAAATATAGTATGTGAGAGAATTGATGCATACATAGAAATTAGAAAGAATAAGGAAAGAGGAAAACGTGAGGATGTAAAGTGAAGATACCTAGGGCGCCATCTTCCTTGTCGCCGTCGTCCTCGTCGGAATCCTCATCATCATGGTCATCTTCCTCCTTCACATCTTCCACCACTGGATCATCAAGCTCATCATCATTCTGCTCCGTCGTATCACAAAATCATTCGCAGTAAAAATCTTTTCCTTTTAATATGAAACTTCTAAAAAAAAAAAAATGGAAGAAATTATGAACAGAGACTTACCAGAAGCTTCTTCTCAGTATCAATTTCTTCAACGACGGGTCCAGGCGCCATCTTTACTGTTTTTCTGTTGCCTTTCGTTCTCTGTGAACTGTGAAGTGACGATAAAGCTACGCAGTAGAGATAATAGCCGAATGGTTGAAGTCTAGGGTTGATACATATTGGGCCGTTTTCTATTCGGCCCATATAACATCAATGAATCCATTTTTACAGCCCATATAGTCATAGCCTCATAGGCCTAGCTGGATATATAACGGCCCAAACCCACTATGGAAGCAAGAACCAAGTAAAGCTACAAAGAACAAATATCAATTTTGATTCCACGAGTATTACCAAAATGATAGTTTTAGTCCACATATTTAGTTCATACCAATTTTTATCCACGACTATTATTTTAGTATCAAATTTCATCCAAGACTATTATTTTAGTATCAAATTTCATACACAACTATTATTTTAGTACCAAATTTCACGACTATTATTTTAGTACCAAAATATTCATCACGCCCTCATTTGTTTAAGACATGCTGAAATCTAAAATTTTTAAGGGTATTTTCGTCGTTTTTAACTTAAAATTCTAATTTGAGCATGAATAATGAGATTTAAGCTCTAAAGTCGATCCGAATTCGCAGTTTCCCTTATCATTCTACGGATTGGGATCGATCTTAGAGTTTAAATCCCTTTATTTATGTTCAAATTGGGATCTTAATTTTAATATGATGAAAATATATTTAATAATTTCATATTTCGGCATATCTTAAACGAAGGGATGACCGGTGTGATGAATTTTGACACTAAAATAATAGTCATAGATGAAAATTGGTATGAATTAAACATGTAAGTCAAATTTATTATTTTACTAATACTCGTGAGACCAAAATTAATATTTGCTCAATTACAAAAATCATAACCACGTTAGGCCAATACATTAATTAGTCATCAACCAATGCTTATTTCTTGAATTAGGGTTTACAGCAAAGTGGATCCCTAATATAAATTTATTGAGTTAATACCCAAAATCGTCTTCGACTATAGTGGTTTTTCTCAATTTTGTCCTAAACGACTTTGGTGACTTAATGTAATCCCAGAGTTTTGTGTTTTTACTCAATTTCGTCCCAGACTTTTGTGTTTTTGCTCAATTTAGTCCCCCATTTGTTATTCCGTCCATTTGTTGTTAAATAAATAGACAATTCAGTAATTTTAATATTGGCATTTCTTTATTCATAAACATGTGAAGTGCGAAATCTCTTTTTTTTTTACGAATACTCCCAGAATCACTTCTAAAGCTGCGAATATAAAATTTGATTCGTAGGTCTGAGAGTAACTCTGGGTGTAATTCGTGTAAGAAAGAGAGATTTCTCACTTCGCAGGTTGAGAGTAAAGAGATGTCAATATTGATATTATTGAATTGTCCTTTTATTTAACACAAATTTAACGAAATAACAAACGGAGGACTAAATTGAGCGAAACACAAAAGTCTGAGACTATATTAGGTCACCAAAGTCGTTTAGGACGAAATTAAGAAAAACCACTATAGTCGAGGACAATTTTGGGTATTAACTCTAAATTTATTGTTAGTATATTATTGGTTCATATTTAATGTACTAGTTAGTACACGCGCTTTGCGCGATTATACCAATGCCCAATATGTATTTATAATTAGTGTTGTTTAAAATGATACATTTGGTCTTGGACCTTAAATGTATAAATTCCTTTATTCCTCTTGGATAAATTTTTGTCATAATTGTGGATGCCTAATGAAGTAAATGCAAATGTGTTGTTGTATGTTTGAACGCATGCTTGAAAATGACGTGACACTTCATCTTTCTCACAAAAGTATTCTTCAAGAGCGGAGGCATTTCATTAGACACCAAAACGACAAAAGACATTAGGCGTTTCATCTTTCTCACAAAAGTATTTGCTTTACAATAGGTACAAGGAGAATAATCTTTTAGCACAAAAGACTGCTTGAGATTAGAAGAAAGAGTATTGTTGTGTTGCAAACAATCTTGAGAAGTTTTTTCGAGTACTACTTCTGAAGGACCTTTATTCATTTCATTTTGAAATATCATAGAATATTTTTTAAATTGTATAATCAAGTAATGTATAATCAAATACATGTAAACAAGTTAGTTCTAGTGTACATAAGTTGAAGAATTGAATTCATAGTAAGACAAATTTGACTTTCTAAAAGCATACCAGCAATGACGTCGTGAGTTACTGTAGACTTGACTGCATTAATTTTGTGTTGACGCTTTTCGTTAAGATCATCTTCTAGTAGGATCCATTGTTGCGTAAGCATTTCGGCATCTCAAGTTTCTCTCTTCCTGTCGAGTCTCATTACAAGCATACCGCTCCCTATGTTTTCTATTCCTCTCATCACGACTGGATTTAGGAATTTCAGAATAGCTAGACTCCATAACAGAGCTTTTTATAAACAATAAATTCAAATTCACGAAATGAGAATACAAGTTTGAATTCTGATCTTTTTACAATAACATAAATAAATATTTTACATTAACAAAAAAAAAAATGGAAACCAAAAAAGCATGTTAGAATACATAACTAATGATTGAAGAACAAATACACAAAAATGACAAAATCGGTATTAACATCGCACTCACCAAGGTGCATTTACATCACCACACTGGAAAGCAAAGCAAATTAAAGTCAAAGCCAACAATTTTCCAGTAGCTCATCCCATTAGCAATGCCAGAACTCTACCAAACAATCCCATTATGTAAATCAATTATTCCAATGGTCCACCAAGCTAGGTGGACCATCTTCTTCATTCAATTAATTTCATTAGCTCACCCAGCTAACACTCAACATACTCAGATTGCTCCAAATCAACATATAGACTCAGTAGCAACCCATTCAAGGCTTCAAGCCAATGTAGCTCCGGGTTTCTCTCCCTCATCCAAAAATAACAGTAACTCAGGAATCAATGACATTTCTACAGAGTAAAGCACAAGGCCTCAATTCCTTTCCTTAGCAAGACACAGTTACTCAATAATCAATATCATAGCATGAATGCAACCAACACCAAAAAACAACAAAAAAAGTTTTAGAGAAAAAGGTATTCTTGGATGGGTATCTGTGAAAAGCTTAAAAACACTTCACCTCAACCCAAGTACCCAACTAAATCAAAGGCTCAAAGAATAGAAGACTACAAGGAAAAAGAAGCACTCTTCGTCTGATAAATGGAACAGAAAGCAAAAACAAGTGGAATGATAAAGCTCCAACCAAAAATCCAAGACACCACCCACACCCCCTAAAAAAAAGAAGGAAAATACTCAAATAGATGTAATTCACTCTCTGCATAATTGTACATAATTGCATACCAGACGCAAAGAGACAAAATCAACTTTCCTTTCGCTTTAGTTTTAATTCTCCTTAGGACGCTTTTGCTGCACTAATTTGTTTATCACTATTACTACATTGGTAGTTTTTAGAACTTCATGAACAACTTTATCCAAGCTCCAATGACCGGTTCATGAAGTTGTAAAAAGTACCAATGTTTAGACTTAATGCTTGAGATACTTATGGGATCTGTCAAATATTTCTCATACTCCTCATCTGTGTATTCAATTACATCCACTGACTGCATTCAATCATCAACAAACAAATAAATTGGGGCAGGAAAGCTTTGGAGAAAGACATTTGTGAATAAGGACTATGATAAAACCTTCACATAATAATAGAAAGATTATTCGGCATACCTTGTTATACTTAGCAAACGAATAGTCGCCTGTTGGCAGAACACCATTTACAACCCTCACCTAAAAACAAAAGAGGCAGAAAAGCTCTTTTCTGTACATAAATCTCACAACACTGAAAATAGATTTCACAATGAAGAGCTAGACATACCCAGTGGTATAGTTGTAAACTGTCATTTCGGGCAAAATTTGTAAAAGGAAGCCATTGCCATGTAATCTGAAGAGGGAATTGAAGTACATTAATGCCTTAAATAAGAATTTAAAATTTAAAAGTACGGAGCAATTTAAGAAAAGAAAAAAAAAAAGGTTCAACAGTCATGCAACCTTTTCATTCTCTGCCTATGTTCTGTCCTTTGCATCCATCTGATCTTTCCAACAAATTAGGGTTTGCTTCTCCTAATTGCCATGGCCGTGCTTCTCAGAAATGCTCTCTTAATTGCCATTAAAATTTGTTTGCCGTCGGCGATAATGTTTCTCCTAATTGTCATTAAATTTCATGTAAACTTAACTTTATTTGACGGAATTGTAAAATTTAACCTTGAAAGTTTGGTAAAATTAAGAAGAGTGAGGATATATTAGGATTTTAAGTTAGCATTGTATAATTAGAAAGACACAAAGTACAATTTGTTAGAGTAGGTGTTGTACCGACATTTTTTTAACTCTCGTTAAGGGTCTAACAATATTCGCTCTTATTAAAATTGTATATGTATATATATTGTATTGTATGTAGATTACAACTTCATTTTAACTTGCAACATTGTTGCAACACACACACACAAACGAACATGCATTGAAATATAGTGAATCTACTAAAATAAATATATAATATATTAAAAATAAACATATATCATGATCCACCTTGTAAAGTGAACTTCAGGTGCAATGATATAATTTGTTGTGGGGTGTATATTATCTAGACTAGAAGAGTGCAGTAAATAAATTATATATTCTTATATAATAATTTATAAATTAAACTATACTAAAAAATCCCGTCATAAGTATATAAATCATATTTTATCCCCTCAATCATTCTTTCAATTGGATTAAATAGCTTCTGAATTTTAAAAGTGTGTATTTATCAACGAGTATGAGTTTAAACTGCGTACAGAGAAGGTTGAAGCTAATGAGAATGGTATGGAATTGAAGCATTTTGGAATACACATGTCGGTCTCCTATAGGCTATTGAATTCTTAAAGTCTTAAACCGTGGAAATTTCTTGGTGATAAAGTCTTGCAGTAGGTGGAGAGACTAGTCATATACTGCTGCCACATTAATTTCTGCTAGGATTCATATTATGATATATAATTAGGTCAGATGTTTGGTTATGAGTGATAACATTTTTTATTTTATTTTTTATTTTGGGTGATTATGTCGCCCAATAGCAACTAAATAGTATCTTTCACACACTTAGATAGCTAAATAAATCAAAAATAATTGAAAGATTAAAATGCATATTACAATGTTGGACATGATGCATATTAATTGAAACAATTCCTCCTCTCAATACCTGCTACAACCTTTGAACACCAAGCCTAGTTACACAGCCTGACTCGATCCTTAGCCTATGCACCCATCATCCCTTTCCTAGTACTTAACGTGACCCGACCTACGTCCACATCTCATCTGGGATTGTTGGGCGTCGACCGAGTTCGGCACGACGGCACCTGCTCGATTCGAGACGTGACTGGCTTACTATGGAGGGATGTGGTTAAATGGTTAATGTACACTTACTTATCACCAATTGATTTTAAGTACGATATGGCAATTAGATAGCCAAAGAACTATGTTCATAATGCAGCACTGAGATCCATTATAACAGAGGTTTAGAGGGCCAAGTTCAAAGTCGTGTAATCGAAACATAGTGATAATTATGTAAATATAAATAAATAAAGTTATGTATTTACTACTAATTATATCTTTTAATATAATGATAATTGTTTGATCTTACATAGTTATAATTTAGAGAATAAAAATATTAATTTTTCAATTATTTTTCTTTCATAATTGTGTATGGCTGCTAATTAATTATTATGGTGCTAGCAACATCCTATCTTATATCCGTCTGACTAAGTAACCTTAATGTCTACATCTACATAAAAAGCTTCTATTATATATACAGTGACTTCACCAAACATTTGATGTTTCAACTAATAACCTATTTTTAATTGCTATTTTGAAGTTGTTTAAAGGTTTAAATTGATTTTGATTTTGAGTTTTGACATATTAAAATTCTACAAAGTTGATGACATATAGTGCATGCCATATTAATAAACTGTAAATAAACAAATAAAATTAGTAAATTATATAAAATAATTTAACTATTGAATACTTGGATGAATAAAATTAACAATTTAAACCATTTTAATTACTTGCTAAAAAAAATCAAAGGCAAACCAATGAAATCCATAGTTGTTTCAATATTCAAACTATAGCGCCCAAGTAAAGGATGAATAAATAACAGAACGAAGACGGAAAGTTGCACAAAACTTAATTAGGATAGATGAATGTTGGGTAAAAATGATGAATATATAATTAATATGACTAGATCATATATAGCAGAATAAATTTTTATATTAAAATTACTACCCTGCTCTAGTTAGGGTTGGATTTGGATTTTATTTTGTTGTTATTTTTATAAATAAATTCATACTTTTATATATGTTCTATATCACATTATCACTATAAAAGCATACGTCGAACGAACTTTATCAATATATATTTAAACAAACAATATGACTTAATATAAAAAAAAATATAAATTATCCACTTAATAATAAATAAACCAAGAACTAACATTAAAAAAAAACAAAAAAAAAAAAAAGTAAACTAAGAACTAACATAAAAAAAAAAAAAAAAGTTTTTAATTTTCTTGATCAAGTAGACTTTTTGATGGTGAGGCTCTGTCTTCCAATCTTTCTAGATTTGACCCACAAAATGATACTGCGAGAACAATATATTTTATTGGTGGAAAAGAAAATAGGGCATATATATTGAAAGGGATGGTTGGTCACTTTGATGGGTATATAAATTTCATAAGTTTGATTTTTTTTTTTTTTAATTGAACTTATTACACATGTTTATTATGAAGACTTATTCAATATACATTTCATTATCTTAGGATATACACTCTGTTCAAAATAAGGTCGAATTAATTTAAACATGTAATTTTGTAATTACTAAGTTAAGAGCTTAATCAACTTGAGTGGTTCAATATACATTCTTCAATAATAATGACAATTTTATGGCCACAAAAAAATAGACGTATTATGCTACGACAAAATGGGAGGTTAGTTCAATTTTCATGAACAACATAACATCTCGGAATCAGGGATTCCTAAACTAGAGTTTGGACTCTCTAGATTGGTGTGGAGATGAATCCTTTTATGTGCATAATCAACAACATAAATTGATTTGGGAATTTGTGATTTACCGCCTACCGCATAAGTTCTAGAGTTTAAGATTAGTTTAGCTAGGTTGGGAAATCTAATATAATTTTTTTAAAAAAAAAAAATGGGTATACTATACCAATCATTATTTAAGCGAATTAAAAAAAAAAAAAAGGTTGGTGAACCAAGTTCAACCATATAAGCAGCGATGCTCATCGCTCTCATACTCAAACCGTTCTCTCTCTTCTTCTTCTTCTTCTTCTTCTTCTTCTTCTTCCATTCTTTCTTTCTTTCACACTACACTCTGCAATCGCATTAAGCTGAAATGGGGTCGACCGGAAACGACAGCCCGATGACAAACCGGGTCGACTCCGACGAAGAAGCCAGCCTATTCGCTATGCAGCTCGCCAGCGCTTCCGTTCTCCCCATGGTCCTCAAATCCGCCATAGAACTCGACCTTCTGGAGCTCATAGCCAAAGCCGGGCCGGGAGCCGCCGTCTCCCCATCGGAACTCGCGGCGCAGCTCCCCACCACTAACCCGGACGCCGCCGTCATGCTGGACCGGATCCTCCGCCTCCTCTGCACCTACTCCGTCCTCAACTGCTCTCTCCGGACCCTCCCCGACGGCCGGGTCGAGCGGCTCTACAGCTTGGCCCCGGTTTGTAAGTATTTGACAAAGAACGGCGACGGCGTTTCCATGGCGCCCCTCCTCCTCATGAATCAAGATAAAGTCCTCATGGAAAGCTGGTATATATATATTCCCCTTCTTCTTCATTCAATTCTTGCATAGTACAAATGTTTAATTAGGGATAGATGCGAAATGATAATAAAATAATTCATATTTTTTAACTTAATAATCCATAAGTTTAAGTGTGCATTGAACATTTGAACTCTTAATTATTAAAATAGTTATTCGGAGTGTTTGGTAAATAACTGTTAACTGAATGGAGTAGGCTGTAAAAGAGCGACTCTAAAGAATAATAACGTGAAAAAAGTCTATATATTCAATTTTCTTAGTAAAGAGATTTTCCTAGAAAAGTGGTAAGGTAGGGCGTGAAGAAAGCAGATTTTAGGAAAGTGGTTCAGGTAATTCAGTTGACTAGTTGATGGTATTAGCTGATTGTAAAAAGATGTTTAGTAAATTAGTTGTTAGCTAATAGCTGATTATATATAAAATGATTTTTTCAAAAAACTGACATAAAAAATTGTTTTGAATAGTTTTTTAAATTGTTGTGTTTTGTTACAAAAAAACTAATTAATTAAATATTGATATTGATTGTTTAATCAAGTTAAATAATTATTAATAGTCAAATGAATCAAAATTGATTAATAGACTAACTATTTTACTAGACAAGTTCATAATAACTCAAAATTTAAAATAATTGAATTTTTTATGACTTCATAAATGATAATTGATGAGAATTTTCAATTGATGTAACTATGAAGGTTTATTTAGTCTATTAGCATATCTTTGTAGGCGGTTAGTGAGGATATGATTGCTGTAGGGCTGGAGTGCAGACAAGTGGCCAAAATAATAGTATTATATATATACTAGGTTAGGTGACATGTCGTATAGAAAAATAAAACAATGTTTAAAAACAGAGACAATTTGGAACAAAACAGCACCCACTACACTGAAAGGAATCATCTACCTAACCCCAGACTGGTATACTGTTGATGATATGGTTGGCAGTTGGACCAAAGCTGAAAACAGGCACTTGATAATGTTCTCCATTAACTAACCTCTTGAAATTGTTGTTTTCTTGCATGTGTTGATTGCTTAACATTTTGGTATATACTATATATTAGAGTGGTTGGGTGACTAATGATGGGGATACTAGATTTGAATGTGAAGTGTAAATTAATAACACCTTTTAATGTTAAAGAATAACAATTTTGGAAATAGATTTATTTCATCTTGATTTAATATTCAGAAATATTATTATCAAGAATGTGTTATTTCCTTTTTACGAGGGAATGATCATACCAACAAGGAGTTCTATATATAAGTATCTTATAAACAGTCATTAGTCATTTGTTCAAGAAACGACGTCATTGAAATATATATATATATATATATATATATATATATATATATATATATATATATATATATATTAGCTACTAATTTAATTGATAAATGATTATATAGGTACCACTTAAAAGATGCCGTGCTTGAGGGTGGAATTCCATTCAACAAGGCATATGGAATGACTGCATTTGAGTACCACGGAACAGATCCAAGATTCAACAAGGTTTTCAACCGTGGAATGTCTGACCACTCCACGATTACCATGAAGAAGATTCTCGATGATTACAAAGGATTCGAGGGCCTCAAGTCCCTAGTAGATGTTGGTGGTGGAACCGGTGCCACGCTTAACATGATACTCTCCAAATATCCCAACATTAAGGGCATCAACTTCGATTTGCCTCATGTTATTGAGGATGCTCCTAAATATCCTGGTACATTTATATATAAAACATATTGATCTTATTATCATAGGACTAATCCTACTTTTCCCTCTTTGTCTTAAACAACTTTTCCATTTTTAAATTAGTCGTCAATTATAAAACAATCAATATTAATTTTCGATATGTTGCGTAGGGATTGAGCACGTTGGAGGAGACATGTTCGTTAGCGTGCCTAAAGGGGATGCCATTTTCATGAAGGTAAAACACGAACCCTTAAATCTTTATTGTTTTCGATCTTCTACAATCAGGTGAGAACAACTTTAAACTGCAAACTGCGAACTTTTGAAGGATTACACCGTACCGGGATACAATTGCACTGCAAGGTCCTACTGAGCTGTAGTAGGCAATCATGTAATAGTTACCGTGCAATCTTTCACAAGTTCGCAGTTTGTTGGTTCTCGCCGGATTATATATATATATATATATATATATATATATATATATATATATATATATATATATATATATATATATATATGTTTGTAATTTGGAATATAATGTGGTGTCCGATATGATCCGATCCGCAGTGGATCTGTCACGACTGGAGCGACGCCCACTGCCTGAAATTCTTGAAGAACTGCTACGATGCCCTTCCAGAAAACGGCAAAGTGATCGTGGCAGAGTGCAACCTTCCAGAATCTCCGGACACCTCGCTGGCGACCAAGAACGTCGTCCACATTGACGTTATCATGTTGGCGCATAATCCCGGCGGCAAAGAGAGGACCGAGAAGGAGTTCGAGGCGCTGGCGATGGGCTCTGGTTTCCGACACTTCCGCAAGGCTTGCTGCGCCGTCAACACTTGGATCATGGAATTCTGCAAATGATATGATCCAATCCAATCAAATTTGCAGGTTTTTTTAAGGATCCCATGCATCCAGTGTTTGTCGTGAAGATTGATGATGATGATGATGATGATGAGTCTAATTTCCTCTATTAATTTCACCAAAATGGCTTTTCTAGTTTTCACAGAATGGAATAATAAAGCTATCTGCACCCTGCTTCTGATCTTTTCATTATTGTATACATACTACACTATATATTTTGTTGCCAAGTTTGAACTCATTGTATATTTGATCATATCATACTTTACCACTATTACTGATTATATAATAAAGAAAATTATGTTTTCATGAATCATGACTTCTACTTATTTTTAATTTTTATTTTTTGGTGACTATATGGAAACCTGCAATCACTATCATGGCCTTTTGTTTCTCTACACGTGCAAGGCTCAACTAATACATTAACGACTCGTCTGATTGGCTAGAAAATATTTAAACGGAAATGGATTGAAATTTCATTGAAAATTAAATTCTAAAAAAATAGATTCCATTGTTTGGTTAGTGAAAAAAAAAATTATTGAAAATATGAATCTCATTGTTTGATTTTGGAAGTTAAAGAATAATGGGTATAAAGACAATTATACCCTACAGAATAATAATGTTAATTAATAAAAGTTGATAACGACATAATTATCCTATTTTCTATGAAAAATAAAATACCTCAGGAGAATCATAGAAAATGTTTTCCTTATTTTTAAAGAAATATTTTTCTGTGAAAATATTTTCATGAACCAAATAAAAGAAAAAGTCAATTTTTCTCAAATTCAAGAAAAACATTTTTTTTAAAAAATAATTTTCAGCAACTTAAAATTTTACCAATTATAATAAAACGTGTTAAGTAAAACAAATGTAGTCCACACGTTTTCTGCTATTTTAATTATCTTACTAATGAATTGTCAAAATGGCATTAGCTCAAAGTCCATATTGGTAGTAGGTGAAACTTTAGCCTAGCCAAGAAGAGTGGAGAGAGGTGGAGCCCATGCATATGGAATCAAGGATAAGTAATTTAATCCTAATTACTTATACAATACCACCTAATATTTTACTTTGAATAATACTAAACTTTGAATATTAAAAATCTCTTAAACTTCTAATGTCTTTGGTCTTTGATTGGGAACCAGCACATCGTTATCAACTTTAAATTTTTTTATAAAAAATTCATCATTTAAAATTAGAGCTAATTAATACTAATAAGTAATTAGAAACAAACTTTAATGTTTATTGCCCTTTTTGAGTAATTTACACTAGTTACATTTTCAACGTTTCGTTGCAGTCGTTTGTGCGGGATATTATATTATTTACTCGTATATATTGTAAAGTTTTTAAAAATATATCAAATAAAAATAACAGTATTTACGTGAAAACAATTGTGACAGCGTTTAATAAGAGTTGTTATATGGGTGGATTGCAAATTTGCAATGCATTGATGAATTACAAGAAAAGTGAGAGAGATTGGGAGTGAAATGATGAGTCTACCAATTTGAATCCACTAGGGGGTGTGGTGTTATGAGATTGAACAATAAGGTTGAAATATGTAATTAAGTGAAAGAACAGGGTTATGAGTGTCATTTAGGATGCTTATTGGGCCGCTTAACTTGATGGTTAGTAATAGAAATAAGCCCAGTAGATTCCGGCCCAAGTTACTGAGTCAAGGCCCAAAGCTGTCAAGAATGACTGGGGCAAAGGCTGAGTGGCTGAGTCAATCGACGCGTTATAACTTATTATCACATGTTCACAATCACACTTCTCTCTCGGGTTATATAAGCCACCGGCGAGCCAACTTCCGGTAAAAAACCGGCCGGCGATTCAACGCTCCGAGGAAAAATCAAATTTTAACCCACAAAGATGGAGAACTCAACCCAAGGATCGAATCTCAGATCCGAGAATTCCGTGACCTATGAGTCTCCCTACCCCATTTTCGCCATGGCCGTGTCCTCCTTCGCCGCCGCCCACCATGGCCTCCGGCGACGCAGCGTCGCCGTCGGCAGCTTCCTCGAAGAGTACAAAAACCGGGTCGAAATCCTCTCCTTCGAAGAAGATACCGTCACTCTGAAAACCAACCCGGGGCTAGCCTTCGATCACCCTTACCCTCCCACGAAGCTCATGTTCCATCCTAATCCCACGGCGTCAATGAAGTCCGCCGATCTCCTAGTGTCCTCCGGCGACTACCTCCGTCTCTGGGAGGTTCGAGAAGCTTCCATTGAGCCCGTTTCGACCCTCAACAATAGCAAAACCAGTGAATACTGCGCCCCATTGACCTCCTTCGATTGGAACGAGGTGGAGCCGCGGCGAATCGGAACTTCAAGTATTGATACCACCTGTACCATCTGGGATATCGAGAAGGGCGTTGTGGAAACCCAATTGATCGCCCACGATAAAGAGGTTTACGACATAGCCTGGGGGGAAGCCGGGGTTTTCTCTTCGGTTTCGGCTGACGGGTCGGTTCGGATCTTCGATCTGAGAGACAAAGAACACTCCACAATCATATACGAGAGCCCCCAACCCGACACCCCATTGCTCAGGCTGGCTTGGAACAAGCAAGATTTAAGGTACATGGCGACAATATTAATGGACAGTAACAAAGTTGTAATCTTGGACATCAGGTCACCTGCAATGCCGGTGGCTGAGCTGGAGAGGCACAATGCTAGTGTGAACGCCATTGCTTGGGCTCCTCAGAGCTCCAGGCACATCTCTTCTGCCGGAGATGATGGCCAGGCGCTTATCTGGGAATTGCCCACAGTTGCAGGCCCAAATGGGATTGACCCCATGTCAATGTACTCAGCTGGGGCTGAGATTAACCAGCTTCAATGGTCTGCTGCTCAGCCTGACTGGATTGCCATTGCGTTTTCTAACAAGCTTCAGATGCTAAAAGTGTAAGGAGATGATAAAGATTGCACCTTTACTAGGTTGTAGCAGTGGTAGTTAATGGGTTAGTTATGTATTGTTAAGTAGTGTTGTTTGGTATGTGTCTGTAATTGGTTATCTGTTAATGGGTTTGTTGAATGTTGGAACACTTGTATTACTCCCCACTTGATTAATATAATTTCTTGAATATGATTATATGTTCTGTCAGTTTCTGTCATTCCTTGCTTGAGCATTGCCTAACAACTCATGTCAGTTTCTGTCATTCCTTGCTTGAGCATTGCCTAACAACTCAAGTGAATTGAGCCATTGCTGTTATTTGGGAAAGTCAATAGTAAATGATCTGTTTATGCTTCTCAAGTGCTTTTGCAGAATGTTGCTACATCTGTTTCCCTATATATATAGTTCTTTTTCTTTTCTTATTTTTTGATACATTAGGTTTCAGTTTATGTCATACTTAGTCTTGTCACTATGGCTTCTGCCAACTTGGGGAGTCCAATCTCCAATCTAGGGAGCCCAAGGGCCTAAACTCTAGCTTGGGGAGTCCTAACTCTAAGATGTTGGTGGGAGTCGAACTCCTATCTTGCCGCTAGAGTGTTGACTTTAGGTCAGGTGATCGACCACTTGAAACATGATATATATAGTTCTTTTTCTTTTCTTTAAAGGGTGGCTTTCATGTCAAAAAGTAAGGTGCTTGAGTAGGTTATAGGTGGAATCTGGTGCTTCAACTCTTATTTTGCTGTAGCCATTATCTGCATAAAATTTTCTTTCTACTGTTGTGATGTTCTGTTTGTTCTTTTTAGACAGTCCACCTCCCAGTATCCATATTTGACACAGCAATAGTTTGTGGATGACTTTTGTCCATTGGAGTTTTGCTTTTATACCTCAGATAAGCTCACCATTATACTGAGGGATCTGTAAATGTGAATTGATGGAAAAAAATGGCTTAATTTGGGGGGAAATATCAGTATTCCATGAAGTCCACTGTTCATTTGGTGTGTTTAGATAAATATACTCATGTTATTAACTCAGTTAAGTGACCAGATTTGATACAGAAACAGTAAAAGAGTAGAGAACAATACAGTTCATTAGAAGAGCAAAAGATATCAATTTTTAAAGTGTAGTAGAGCACTGAGTTTGCTTAAACCTTGTAGAACTTAATGGTGAAGAACCTCCAAAAGGCACCACAACAATGCAGTTTACATTATACCTATATTTCCCAGAAACCCAAGTCCCCACCTTCCATCTCAGCTTCCCAATTGCCTTCAGAGCCAAGACCAGCTTTCCAGAACTTTGATCTCGCTGCACGAAATAAACAACAGAAGGAGCCACAGCCAACCCATTCCCTGTCAAAGATGCAGAAAGAACGTTGGTGTCTTCGTGCCCTTGATAAAATGGAGGAAGAGAGGTGTAAACGGTGATCTGCTGCCCCTTGTAGGATGCGAAAACTTGCATTTCGTCGTAGTAGATGCCTATTTTCTTGTTTGGGTTCTTGGAGAGCAGGGTGAGTTGAATGGAGGAGTAAAGAAGGTGAGCAGTGAAGAGGTTGAGTTGATTTATTTTAGCTTCTGAGAGAGAGAACTCTGGCCTAGAGGGGTGCAGACTTATCCAAACAATGAAGATGAGTGCTAATAGGATAGAGAACAGAAAGGCAACGACAGCAAAGAAAAGCTTCTTGTGGATGCAAAATTCTCTCTTGGAGCAGTGTTTAGGAGATTCTATGTTGATCTGAGACATCTGCAGAGCAAGAATGGACTGAAGGATTGCAGTCTTGGGGGTAGGGGTAGGGGAGTTAACTTACAATGCCAAGGAATGAGAGCAGTGATGGTGCTAATCAATATAAGTAGTGTTCAAGTGGTCGATCCCTTGACCTAAAGTCAGCACTCCAGTGGCAGAGATTGCTCTCGCGATTTACCTCATCCAGCAACTCGGGAGTGTTCATATTTCTTAAGTTGCAGAAAGTATATAAGGAGTGTTCAAGTGGTCGATCACCTGACCTAAAGTCAGCACTCCAGCGGCAGAGATTGCTCTCGCGATTTACCTCATCTAGCGACTCGGGAGTGTCATATTTTTTAAGTTGTAGAAAGTATACAAGGAGTGTTCAAGTGGTCGATCACCTGACCTAAAGTCAGCACTCCAGGGGCAGAGAGACTGATCTTGTGATTTACCTCATCCAGCGACTCGGGAGTGTCATATTTCTTAAGTTTTAGAAGTATATAAGGAGTGTTCAAGTGGTCGATCACCCGACCTAAAGTCAGCACTCCAGCGGCAGAGACTACTCTCGCCATTTACCTCATCTAGCAACTCGGGAGTGTTCATATTTCTTAAGTTGCAGAAAGTATATAAGGAGTGTTCAAGTAGTTGATCACCTAACCTAAAGTCAGCACTCCAGCGACAGAGAGACTGCTCTCGTGATTTACCTCATCTAGCGACTCGGGAGTGTTCATATTTCTTAAGTTGCAGAAAGTATATCAATCATATTGTACTAGCTTTTGTCACTTTTGGAGTTTTGGTAAGCAGATATGCATTTTTCATAGATTTAGCATCATGTTAGTGGACTGTCACTTTACACAACTCATGAGCAAACTCTTCAAAAGATTGATGAAAGTTAGAACCACAATAAGTTTTTGTACATAGGCAATGCCATGGTGTTCATCCACTACAAGTTGTGTATCGCGATTGGTGATTCGCTTTCCCTTCCCCGAGGTAGGGCAGACACATTTCTGATGATGAATATGCATGTAGTTTGGTATGAATCTGTAAAGTTCACAAGCAAGAAAAATATGCAGATAAAGTAAAGCCTTTTAAGTTCATCTTCCCTTTCTGTAAAAGCTTATCAGTTTCACTTTTAGAGTTCTTTGAATATGAAAGAGAATTTCAAGAAAACCAACATATGTAGATCAACTTTTCCTTGTTTTCTCCAAAAACAGACATCATAGTCTCTGCTAATAACTGCTGTAACTAACAAGCTTCTACTGATTATACAGGCGTTGCGATATACAATCGTGCTACTTCTTAATGGTTATAAGAAGCGGTGACATGAAGCGTTTATAATGAAAGAATAGGAGTTCTGGTTAGTGGCTATCCTACAGGTCAAATTCCAACATCGGGTTATAGTGTTGGAAAGCTTTTATCTCGAGTTCTAATCACTAACCAGCTCGTGTCACTTTGGCTGTTGGCGAACAAACTGTCCCTTCACTCGAGGCCGCTGCTCTGCAAGCTTTTTCCTGCTTTCATATCTTACCTGTGAACAAATCCAAAAAAAAAAAAAAAAAAAAAAAAAACTGAGTTAGCTTTTGCGATAAAACACATGTTTGATGATTATATATATACAGCAAATATGGGTCCATAACCCACATGTCTCAGGATCGGAACCTGGCTCTGATACCATGTTAAAGAAAGATTTAGAAGAATTGTTGTATTACTTCCATGTCTCAATGGAGAGACAACAGACAAATATATACATCCTTAAAAGACACAATCCTACAGACACAACTCTACACAATTCAACAGACATATTTCTACAGACACAACTTTTGTGTTTCAACAAAAGGTAATGGAATTATGGAAGTCAGAATATAATATACCTTCTTTTCAAAGCATCTGTCTTTCCTTTTCAATCGGAATTTGGTAAGAGCTGCTTCTCGTTGGGATTGTTGATAGCTCCCGTCCTGACCAAGAGGAGCTTTTTCTTTACTACACTCCACTGTAGATTTAACTAATGGAACCGAGGTTTTGCCATTGCATGTACTACTATTTGCACTTTGATCAGTAAACGATGAAAAATGCCCGTGATCATCTGCAGGTTCTGACTGGTTCTCTTCTTTTTTCTCGGACTGACTGGTGTCGTTATCAGTGTTCTGATAACTCACAGCTTCATGGTTTAATAGATGAAACAAAGGTGTCTGAAAGCGAGAATCTTGGCAGCCTGCTGAACCGGGGCTCTGCATAGAAGTGTGGGCATTTCCTAGACCCTTAAACCCGACACCTCTCACTGGAATCGGGAGCCCAATTTCGTTGTTCCCAGGCTCAGCTCTCGCCTGTCGCATAAGTGCGTGGAAATTCATCGTTGGACCACCGAGAGTGTGCTTATCAGAATCGGTTCCACAGTCGTCCTGTTGATTGCTAGTCTTGGGGGCCATCGAGTTTCTGGGCTGCACAACTTTGTTAATGTACCTGCACAAACACTTTTATGTTGGACGAAGTTCACTATCGTCTAAAAACGCTGCAGAACGCCTACAGGAAGGCGATAACGAGACCTCACCGCGTAAAAGCTGATGCATCTGAGTGGTTTAATCTATTCGGAGAGCCACTAGGAGGATATCTTGTCAAGGAAAGATCCAATGGGGGTAAAGACTCAACCTTTTCTGCACTATCTTTAGAACAAGAACTTCTGTAATCACATTTCGGGGAATTGTCGAATGCTCCAATTAAATTAATTGCTCGTTTGGAAGATTTCAGGTAAGCAGGATCATCCTCATCATCATCACCATCTACCAAAACATCGAAACACAGTCACAATCAAACACTGCAAGGGAACACCTTAGAGTTCGTTCGAGACGAATAACTTTACCTCCATCTTGATTATGATCCTCTTGCTCTTGTTTCTGTACATCTGGATGAATAGGAACACCCCGAAATCTCTCTTCAGATTCCTCGACGTTTTCTGTGTTTTCTCCTCCGACCTCCATCTCCAGCTTAACACAAGAGTTCTGCAAAGAATCCAGTGAATATACAGACAATCCCACATCACAGATTTCTTGAAAACATGATTGATTATATATTACCTGATCATCACTCCCCTTTTCACTGCAATCCTCATTCCTAGTAGGAGAAACTGGACCATTAAGATTATCAATTCTGTTTGCAGCTTGTCTCCTCCAGACATGCTGCCACAAGTTCCTCAGCTCATTCTTCCTCACAGGCTTCACAAGAAAGTCTGCTGCTCCTCTCAACATGCATTTATACACCATACTAACCGAATCGTTCGAAGACATCACTGCATAATGAGGAAGAAAGTTGTCAAAACACAGTCCACAAAAGGGCAGTTATATATAGATGTAAGGGAAAATCGCATTTTTGGTCCTTCAGTTATATGTGTGACCATCGAAGTGGCAATTTTAATCCTTTGGGACCATTTCTGCCACTTGACAAAGTGGCGGGTTTGGTCCTTCTGGTCTAAACTCGCCACTTTGTACATAACTTACTGGTTAAAGAGGGTCACACATATACCGCGGGATGACTAAAAATGCAATTTTTCATAGATGTAAATCAACATTATTTATGCAGAATTGCAGATAATCCTAGGTTATGATGGCCCATACTTATCACAGGAATGTTTTTGCAGATTTCATGTTCCATGATTAAGGTGAGAAGAGCATATCCAGAGATAGATGGTAGCTCAACTTCTGTCAAGATTAGGTCTACATTGCTGGGCCTTTCTTTCAGCACCTCCCATGCCTTGAGACCATCAGGAACTGCAGCAACTGCCAGAACACAACAAATGACTTCTCGAAATCCCAGAAAAAAAGATCAGATTTTTAGATGGAAAAAACAGTGATCTTTTGCTTCCAATTTTCACCTTTCATAAGTTGTCTGTCTATAACCTCTGGCCACTAACTGCAATTCAAGAACTTTCTCATAAACTAAATTTCAAAAACTTTTTAGTAATCTCCAAATCCAAACCCAACTCGATCATCAAGATTAATGTTTCTTACAGTTTTCTAAGTAAAACATCAAACTAACCTCTGTAACTGCATTTTCTGAGAAGAGCAGCAATGATCTGGCGAGTAGAATCGTCAGCTTCCACCAACAAAACTCTGAGAACCATCTTCGGCAGAAACCTCTCCCACCTCAGCGCCGCCGCCGCCGCCTGCGGCGGCGGCGGCGGCGGTTCTGCGCTGTCTGTTTCCCCATTCTTCCCCTGTTTCGCCTCGATTATTTCCATCTGCTCTGTTTCTTGAACTCCCAACTCCGTTCCGCTGCCGCCGTTGGCCTCCGCTTCACCCATTCTCACTAGCAAAGTAAAACAAACCCACCGCTCTTTCCGAGATTGGGTGCTCCGGTAACAGAAAAAACCAACAGTAGTGTGTCGAAGGTAGTGAAATTCAATGCTGTGTCGTGTCTGGTTTCTCATTGCTTTGCCATCTAAAAATATCTCCGAAATATGAAGGCCCATTTGCCTCCATAATCAATGGTCGTGCAATCCTTAACCTCCTCGCATCCAATGGCCCATAATCAATCATATTCATTTCGCTAATAATTATTTACTATTGTCTTTTACCGCTAAATTAAACTCCGCCTCACATATACCATTATTATTAACACGAGTTAATTGTTCAATTGTTTTTTTTCCTGTCAATTTCAAATTAGTCACAAACAATTGTTTTTATCTTTTAACATCTTAAACTATTATTTTTTAGACACTTTTAGTTACACTTTTTCTATTTTTAGTAAGAGAATTTTTGTCTTTTTATATTTTTCTTTTGTTATTTTTTAGGTTTAATTGGTTTAGAACTTTAGGTAACCTCTGATTTTTAATAATCATATTTTTCAATCAGTTTTTAGTAAAGTCTAAAAAACCAATTAAACCAAAAAATAACAAAAAAATATGAAGAGACAAAAATGCCTTTACTAAAAATAGAAAAAGTCATCTTCTAAAAAAAAAAAAAAAAAGTCATGAGAATGACTAAAATTGTCAAAAAAAATAATAGTCGAAAATGTTAAATGACAAAAACGATAGTCTGAGACTAAATTTAGAATTGCCATCAAAGACAAGGAACCTCTGGTGGAATTCACTTTTATTAACACTATACGATTCATTAGTCGTTTTCAAAAAAAAAAAAAAAAAAACAAAAAAAAAAAAACAAAAAACAAAATCATTAGTCATTCGCCTATTTGGTAACATAGTTAGCTTATCAACTAATTTTGATTTATTTGACAACTATTAACTGTTTGACTTAGCTAAACAGCTAATATAATTGTTTGATTAATTAGCTTTTTGTAACAGTTTATATCTCCAAAATACTAAAATTTAAAAATATGCTCAAAGCAATTTTTTCGAATAAAATTTTAAAATGTCGTTTTGCATGTAATCATTTATCAGCTAATTGTGGAAGGTTGCTCAAAGGCCTTCTGCAATTGCGAAAGGCTAATCTTATTCTCGAATAGGGTATTTTTAATACCAATTGAAGCATGAACAAACACACAATTCCTCGGTCTTGCGTGAAAATGAAAAAAAAAAAAAAAAAAAAAAAACTTTTGCAAAACAATTCAACTGCTCAACTAATTTAAAATATGTTAATAAATTTTGTTTTATTATTACTACAAAGTACAACGATATGAATTTGGTTGTAAGTACTAACTTACAAATATTTAAAGATGTATTAACCAATCTTTGCTCGCCTTTAAAATAACAACGGTTGCTTGAGAATGAAACTAATAGCAAAATTAACACTTTTTTTAGCCAAATATTTTCATTTTTTTCAACTAAAATATTAGGAAATATTAGGATTTAGGATTTAGCCAAAGTGAATGGCCCGACAGATTATATCGACCACGTGGATCGATGTTTGCCTCTAAATATAAAAAGGGTCATATAAGTAATTGGTCATCATTACATTTTCTTGGCCAAAATTATTTTAAAATAAAATACAAAATAAAAATGAACAAGATATTTTTTTTCCGTACCTACAATGTTATAATTGTTCACTTTCTTTTTTTCCCTTTATTTTGCCATTTAAAATAAAAACATTAGATTAAGGCCCATAATTTATCACGTTAGACCCACGTGATCATAATTTCATACCTGAAGTATAGTGCAAGATATTTTCGTTTAGTGGTCAGGATCTTGACATGTGGTATCACTGCCTAGACTGAGAAAACGAATGGTTTTACTGGCTAGATGTAACATTGCAGGTCTTTGAACCTTTGAAGCTTATGGCTGTGGTTCGTTTGCAGGTTCTTTATGTTTTCTTTTGATGGGATATCATCTCACCGTGAGACATATAACGATATTTTTAGTTAAAATCAAATTTTATATTCGCATGTTTAGAAGTAATTTGTAAAAAAAAAAAAATTTATACTTTGCATATTTATGGGTAAAGATATGTCAATACTGAAATTACTATGTCCATCTATTTAACAATAGACGGAATAATAAAAGAAGAAATAAATTGTCAAGTATCTTGTGCTCAGATGACACCCAGATTGGACTCTCATATGAGAGATTGTGAGTTGAATCTCGGTGAAAGCGTTATTGGTAAATCAGCAAAATCGTTTATGATGAAATTGAAAAAAATCGCTATACTTGATAACTATGTTAAATATTTAATCAAATATAAATCATTTGTGACATTGAAGGGTGATGGGAGGGCTCCTAACTAGATTCTCTCAACTAGAAAACAAGTCTTTTTTTTTTTTTTTTTTTTTTTGTCGTTGTACAAATATTGAATGAATGCCATATATGAATTTAAAAGATAACAATTCAACTCATTTGCAACTAATTATGCTTATCACAATTCACATCGCCATTCATAACCAAACTCAATTTGTATTTAGCCTAAACACATAAAAACCATCAGTCTATCACTTACAAAATATCGAAAATATTGGGAGTGTTCAGTAAATAGTTGTTAGATAATTGTGTTAGTTGGTTTGACTAGTTGATAATATTAGTTGATTGTAGAAAAATATTTGGTAAATTAGCTGTTAGTTGATTACATGCAAAATGACTTTATAAAAAAATTAATTGAAAAAATATTTTGAGCAGCTTTTTGAATTTTAGCATTTTAGAACAATAAGTTGTTATAAAAAGCTAATTAATCAAACACTCATATTGATTGTTTAACTCAATCAAATAACTAATAGTGGACAAATAAGTCAAAATTGGTTGATAGGCTAATTATTTTTACCAAAGAAGACCATTATGAAATTGTTCTAGTTGGTTTTACTTAAAATTATTTTAATAATTAAAAAAAAAAAACACACACACACACACAATGGTCGGGTCGGGTCAATATTGAAATGTGATACTTATACTGAAAAATATCTAAAAACATAATATGTGTCAATACAAGTTATGTCATTGATTCTTGTCCCCTTTTTATATGCTAATAAATATAGACATTTTGCTTTAATTGTTGTATATTTTATTTGTATTGGACAATATCACTCTTACACCGTTATAACACCGTTAGTATTTAATATATCCACCAATCTTTCCATACACCTACATCTATCATATCTTTTTTCTTATTCTTAATTATCATTTTATTAAAATTATCATATAACAATTAATTTAATTATAAATTATATTTTAATTAAATATTTATATGAATGTTAAATTATATGTGTATCTCTCTCTCTCTCTCTCTCTCTCTCTCTCTCACACACACACACACACACACACACACACACACACACACACACACACACATATATATATATATATATATATATATATATATATATATATATATATATATATATAATGTATGTATATTATTTGTGTATACATATCAATATATCACATATGTGGGTGTTAGCTTAGTAATATTTGTAAATTATTATTATATAAAAATATAATTATTTTTTATCACTATATCTAAAAACATAATAAGCCTCAATGAACGTTATATCCTTGATTTATGTCCTTTTTTTGTATGCAAATAAATGTGCACATTTTATTTTAAATGTTGTACATTCCAATGTTATTAGACAAAACTACCCTTACACCGTTACAACACCGTTAGTTTTTAATTCTAACTTTAATAACGCATCATTATTACCATACACCTATATCTATCATATCTTTTTCCTATTTTTAATTATCATATATTAATTTAATACTTAATTATATTTTAATTAAATTTCTATGAATGATAAATTATATATGTGTGTGTACAAAATACATATATTATTTGTATATATATAATTCAAATTATAATTTTTAATTATTTGTATTTATCAATGTTTTAATATTGGGCATGAATTTTCGCGCATCGCGCATACACAATGCTAGTTATACTAATAAGGAATAATGTGTTTGTTACTTATAATGAAAAGTGTAGTACTTTTAAATTTTGATGTAAAAGTATTACATTTTTCATCAAAAGTATTACACTTTCCCTTATAAGTAATGCTGGCAAGTGTTTGTTATTTATACATTATAAAGAAAAATGTAATACTTTTAAGAGTTAATTCGATCAGATGTCCCCTGTCTTTGGTACAATTTCAAATTTAGTCTTAGACTATTGTTTTTATCATTTAACATCTCAGACTATTATTTTTTGAGCACATTTAGTCCTTCTCATAACTTTTTCATATTTTTAGTAAGAGTATTTTTATTTTTTCATATTTTGCTTTTGTTATTTTTCCAGTTTCAACCAATTAAACCAGTTGAAACTGGAAAAATAACAAAAGATAAAAACACCCTTATTAAAAATAAGAAAAGTCATAAGAAGTACTAGAAGTGTCCAATAAACAATTGTCTAGGATGTTAAATGACAAAAATGATAGTCTGCGACTAAATTTAGAATTAGCACCAAAGACAAAGGACATCTACTGGAATTAACTCCACTTTTAAATTAAAATGTAAAAATATTACATTTTTCTTCAAAAGTATTACACTTTCCTATACAAGTAATTATCACTTTATTCTTAATTAGTATTACATTTTTCAGTATGAATATTATATTTTCATATTGATCTAATCTGTC